GCTCAAAACCCAACCACGAGCCCAGCCACAGCTAAGGAACAGGCCGCACCTGAGTTGGAGCCAGATTTGAGAAGCCGAAAGTTTGTTTAATTTGTGTGGTGCCGAATTTGGAGCCAGATTTCGGGCCTCCCGCACGCCTCGCGGTGCTAATTTTTGAAGCTTGATTTAATGCCTGTCGAGGCTTCTTTTGTGGTTAAAATAGGGGCCTGAGCCTGATTTGCCATTGTGAAATCTAGTTTGGGGCCACTCTGGGCCGGGATTTGAAGCTCATGAGAGGGGGGCCTGGGAGGGGTATGCGACTATGGGATCTGGGTGGCGAGATTTGTGGTGGGATCTGCGGATGTTGGGGGGGAGGGGCTGCAGGGGTTTGAATGCATCGAAGTGGCTGGGCTCGTCGAAATTGAATTAATTTAGCTAAACTCAGCTTGTCAGATGTTTAAACACGAGAGTGAGGCCACGAAATGTTTTGGCGAAAGTTTTGACCGAAAGTTTTTTATAGGAGCCTATTTAATGGTTTTTTTGAGGGGTCCTGAAAGAAATACAGATAGACTCTACCATTTCCGGGGGTGCTGCCCCCGAAAGGGGGGGCTCTGGGGGAGTGGAGGGGGGAGGGGGATCAATTTACTTCAATTCCTTTGGGGGGGCTTGGGTCAATGAACTTAAATTCGTCTGGGGGTGCTTGGGTCAATTTGCTTAAATTCGGGCCCGCAGCCGTTTAGACAGATAAAATTGAAAATTCAGAATGATACCACATACAGCTTGAAGGTTGTACAGAGATGGGTTTATCAACAAGCTTGTTCCGTTTTGTAAGCTCCAGCTCAAGGTTGGCCGACATGTAGAACACGTCTGGGACGTTGCCGACGCACAAATTGCAGTGGCTTTTTCTTTTGCAACTTCAAAATGCGCTGGCTGGGTTGAAGGTTGTGGTTATCAAGAAGCTTGTTCCGTTTTTAACCACCATCTCAACGTTGGCCGACATCTAGGAAACGTTTGGGACGTGGCCGACACACACATTGCCGTGGGTCTTGCTTTTGCAACTTCATTTCCATGTTGGGTCTGGGGTGCTAGGCCGGGCTGGTTCGTAACGGTGGCTACAAAGCAAGGGGCGTCGGGCCAGGCTGGGGCCGTAGTTGTGGTTACAAACAGAGACAAGCAATTTCTATTTATCTCTTTCTTGCGGGTTCTGGGTGCAGGGTTTAGTTTAGGGTGCAGGGATTAGGGTGTAGGGTGGAGGGTTTAGGGTTTAGGGTTCAGGGTGCAGGGTTTAGGGTTCAAGGTTTAGGAGGATTTGGGAAGCAGCTCATACTTCCCAGCACCCCACAGACTCCTGCATGAACTCGCAACTCTTCGCCTTTGACCCCAAGCCCACCCTAAACCCTAAACAGTTTAGGGTTTTGGGGTTTAGGCCCTAAACCCTAAACCCTAAACCGTTCAAACCTTACAACAACACCCGAGGAGCGTGAAAACGTGAGCGGCCCACGGAGACTCAGAAGGTAGGGTGTATGTAGCACTACATATAACTAGGATATTCCAAAGCAGATGACTTGAAGCTCCGAGTAAAAATCGTCATACCAAGTACTAACCCTAAACCCCACACCCTAAACCCTAAACTTTAAATCCCATCATCTCATGTTTAAGGCCCTAAAACCCTAAGCCTTAAACCCTAAACTCTCAACAGAATGATAAATAAAAATTACTTGTCATTGTTGGTAGCAACGGCCCAACAGCCCAGTCCCAAACTCAAGGTGAAGTGGCGCAACTTCTTTAGGGTTGCATATGGCGAGATCAGCACATCATCCAGGCAACGAACAGGTTAGCAGCAGCAAATGCTTTCGGTTTGCTTTCGACGAGAGCAACACGTCACCTGAGCCACGAAACAACCAGCAGGCATACATGTAACGAACCAAACCAGCCCAGCCAAGCACAGCCCGGACAGCCAAGTTGCCCAGCCCAGCCCAGCCCAGCC